AAAAACGCCACCTCCCTGCCTGCATAAGTGTGCACACACACACACACACACACACACACACACACACACACACACACACACACACGGGGAGGGAAACCTAAAATTTTACCCTCAGAATAGGTATACCAATATTTGTATGTGCTTCCAATTAGTAATTTTTCAAATGTGCTATTTCCAATCTTCATCTGCTAACCGTTTCATGAGCAGACTGTACTTCCCATCCCCCTCTGGGCTTATGTGATATCTTTCTGTCCTGTTCCATTTCTTGGCTGGCTTCTCTTTTTCTGCCAGCCCCCTAAATTATGGTGTTTCCAAGCATTCTATCTTCAACCCTCTTATTTTCTCATTTTATATGCTCTTTATCTTTGGGTGCTTTCATCCACGCCCAAAGCCCCAGATATCACTACAGATGGTCCTCTACTTAACAAGCATTCTACTTACAATTTTCCAGTTATGTAGTAGTACAAAAGCAACAAGGATTCAGTGGAAATTTTGAGTGTTGGTCTTTTACTGGGCTAGCACTATGCTGTGTAATACTTGTTGAGCAATGGCAGACATCCTCATGTCCTAGGCAGCCACAAGATCACCAGGTGAAACAGCCCACACTCTGCAATGTACCAGCTGCTAAACTATAACTTTCCCTAGGATAGGTATATCAAATGCATTTTAGGATACAGTATTTCCACTTGTGATGGGTTTGTGAAGGTCAGACCTCTTATAAGTTGAGAAACATCTATATTTGGTGATGGTTTAAAACTAAAATTCTGAGCTACAGTCATATTACCTTCTAGGTGCCCGTGAGATGCATATATATGTAAGTATGTACGTACATACATACATACATACATACTCCAAATTCAGGTCAATGCTCACACAAGGAAAACACAGACAGGGTCTCCCTATGTCACTCAGGCTGCCTTGAAGTCAAGGTCCTCCTCAATCAGCCTCACAAATTCTGGGATTACAGTCTAAAAGTAAACTCATAACATCTTTCCCTACAAACTCAGATTTGTCATTTTATCAAGAGTTAGAAATCTGGGAAATATCACAGCTCCCTACCCCACACACACAGCTTTTCTGAGCCCTTGGGGCTTCCCTAGACATAGGTACTGCTTGCAATTTTCCAGACCCTTAAACTCATAAAACCTAGGATGAATAGTACCATGTTCTTATGCCCTTGATGAAATGTCACTACTCATCATAGATATAAATATGACTCAGAACATCCACATGGTACTGATACATAGTCACGAAATATTTCTTGGCTCTTTGATGATATACAACACACACACACACACACACACACACACACACACACACACACACACACTAATCTCTGCAGAAAATTAATCAATATAGCAAAATACAATGCTTTTGACAGTCTTTGAGAAAAGTCTCATTTGCTGAATGATATTAAAATATTTTCTCAGGGATTGAATTTTTCATTTCATCTGCAGAATGGATGTCCTGCAGAATCTTCCAGGGTATATTGATAGTGTTTTCTTTCTCCTCAGGCAAGTTAAGTAAAGACATTGGTTATTTAAACACAGTGTGGGTAGATTTCTCTGAGTAGATCTTGACTAAGGGGGAAAGATTGAAAATACACTGAGAGTTCCTTTTTAAATGAATGGGCTTTTAATTTATCTTGCTGATAAGTGAGATGCTTTAACAAAGTAATCATTCAATTAGCAAATATTTGCTGGGTACCCAGAATGTGTCTCAGCACTGGCTGCATAGCAATGAACCAAAGGAATGAAAACCACTGTTGTATGCGACTTTTTTTTTTTTTTTTACAGACTAGTCGGTTACTGTGTTCATTTCCATTGTAGCATCTCAGTAATGGCAGGGTCATGGCCTGTAGTTATTATAGCATCCCTTAGAATTGTACATCATAGCTCTAAGAAGGTACAATATATGGCATGTTAACTTGGGTAAGTATAAGTACATTTGAGATGAAGCCAGCGACCCTCAGCAGACTGTCAGCTAATGCTCCAGTTCTGTCCACAGAGTCACTGGTACCACTTCTGTGCTGGCCACTGGGGTTCTCCTCCGAGGTTCTAAAATTTGGGATGTGGGAAGGGCATAAGATGAGGGTTTCACACTTGACAGAGAACATAATCAATGTAAAGGTAAGTCCTGCACTGCAAAAACCTTCCAGTGAAGTCCAAAATGAATAAAGACAGCTGGGTTAAAGGTTAAATTCTAGCAAAGACAACGGAACTGCAGTGATGTACTAAACCTATAATGGAGTTCTGTGAAACTTCTAAGACATTGACAAAATTCTTGAGCATGTTTGCTCATTGCTTCTATTTCACTAGAAACAGAAACAAAGCTTAGTTTGTTACAAAATCATCAAAATCATGAGTTTACATTGGGTAATATATTGTCCAATGCTTAGTAATAAATATTCTGATGAGTAAAAGGGAAACATAACTCTAAAATTTCCAAGATAGTCTCCCTTCCCCTCACCCCCTCACCCCCCATCTCTCTGTGTCTGCCTCTGTCTCTCTAGGTTAGGTCTTTCTCTGCCTCTCTCGGTGTCTCTATCCCCCCTCTCCCTGCCCTCTCTCCTGTGTGTGATGAGTGTTCTTGTCCAAAGAGAAGGCTTTCAACTTTAGAAAGCTGTCATAGGATGTTTTTTGGAATCACTTCCCAAGTGATTGTGAGCTCAACTGCTACCTTCAAAGCCAAGTGAGATAGTGTCCATAGCTTTATCTTGATGCTCATTAGAAAGGACTGCTGTAATGCCTTTGGGGATTAAGGAGAGAAATTTCAAATGTGCAACCTAAAGTCAGCAAAGTAGAGCTCAGCGGGTGAAGTGCTCGCTGTGAAAGCCTGGGGGACCAGGGGCCATAACCTCAGCACTCATCTACAGGCCGGATGGGGAGTTACATGCCTATAATCCCAGCTATCTCAAGGCAGAGGCAAGCAGAGTTCTAAGCTCCAGGCTAGCCTGGTCTACATAGCAAGTTCCAGGCCAGCCAGGGTTACACAGTAAGACCCTGTCGCTAAACAAACAAACAAATAAGTAAATATGAGGTCACATCCTGAGTACTGGCAGATTTCAACATGTAATGGGGTGGGGTGAGACTTAACCCATAACACAACATACCAGTTGTTGATGAAGTGCTGGAGCTGAGGAACAAGTTGGGACGGATCCACCCAGAGTCCAAGGCCCCGAATCTTCTGGGAGTTGACAGAAAGTGTTAGGAAGACATAGAATGTGGCAAGAGGTGGGCAGAGCTAGCTCAAGGAATCTAGATTTTATTCTGTGAGCAGTGGGAATTGTGAGGGGGTCTATGTGGGATACACCTATGGTTTCAAAAATCATGCTGCAAATTTCCCAATCGCCTCTTCAGCATCAAAGAAATGCAAAGATTTCTCAACGTGCTGGCCTTTTGGAGGAATTTGTAACTGTTCCCTCATCACAGCTCAGTCCATGACCCGAGGGATTTACTGAAACATGCTGTTCTCCTGTCAGTGTTTCAATCCTGTTTTATAAGTTCTTAAGTCAAAATACTCATTTCCAGCTAGCTTCCTCTGATTGCCTTCTCCACGGGTAAATGAATTTATTTAGTCACTTTTACACCACATACCCAAAGTAACCTTATCTTGTGAGGGTGTGGGGGACAGATCTCAGGCATACACTTTTTCCTCAGATTTTTGGGTGAAAAGTGATGATTTTTAGAGATTGTGTCATCATTAAAAAAATCAACATTCATTACAGAATTGTAGTGGTTCTGGGATGTGTTTTGATTTCTAACATTTTTCAGATATTTTTTCCATGAAAAATCCTTTTGTAATAGTTATTATAATTTTTAAGTTTTATTGACATGTGTGGAACTTCATGACTTAACATCTGTTTGTTTTTGAACTTCAATCTAGGGTACCTGGCTTTAAACTCCACTCTTTATGTCTGTTTTTGAAACTGGGTCTGGAGAAGACCACACTGACCTTAAATCTGTTATGTAGCCTCTACCTCCAGAGTTCTGGAGTTACAGGTGCATGCTCCCATGGCCTGTTGGCTCCCCTCTTTTCTAACTAAATAGGTTTACTTTTTACCTGTTTGCTATATTGAAGTTCTGGGCTGGAGAAGAGAATCTGTTGGTTGAAAAGCAGAAAGAAGATGTTATGATAGATAAGAGTCATTATCCATGAAACATCCTGGTGTATTCTTTTTCCTGACTGAGAAACTGGAGCAATCTTATCACTTGCCCTGTCATCTTTAACAGCACCTGCATCAGATCACATAAACACTTGTTCATATGTGGATCTTTGTTTATTGTGAACCTCAGTGTGACAGTGGACACGATTCATGACACACATTGAAGGTAAGAGAAAATTAAATTTTTATGTGAACACCTCAATGGTATCATGCATAAAACCCAAAGGAATTCTCAAAGTGCCAAGAGTTATCTTTGAATAAGTTACTTCCTTTTCTTCTGGAGTGTTCCTATTTGCTCCTCATACCATCTATTCTGCTTGCCTAATGATTTCCATGTATAATGCAAGGTACTTTTTCTATTTAAAAGTAATAGTTGATTATAGATTTCATTTTTATCAACATAAAATCTGGGATACTTTTTGCATGTGATTTCAGGGATTTGCTTCATAGCACTATTAGGAATTTTATATAAACTCCTTGAAATTTTTAGTTGTTAATTCCACAATATTTCAAAAAGAAAGCACTGAATTCCCAATCCATGATACCATAAGCACAGTATTTGAAGATTTTTTAAAAATCCATATATCAAGTTACACTGAAGATCATTTTCCTACAATTGCTATATAATTTCTTAGTTTTTTTCAAAAATGTTTATTTTTCAAAATAATTTGATCCTCGTGATTTAAATATTCACCCTCAAAGGAGCATATGTGACATGTAAGAAATAGACACATAAGAGCAGCGTTTCTGGAATTCAGTGCTCACAAAATATGAAAATGACATAATTCATGTTCAAATTTAAAACACCACAGTTTAAATGTGCTATTTGAAAAAGGTCAAGAGTTCAAAGAAATATAATAACAATAAAAACGTCTTTTCTAGTTCTTAAGTTCAATTACTAGATTCTTAGGAATCCAGCTTAAGGAGCAGACAGGCTGACTTGATGGCTAAAGATGCATGCCACTTGGGCCTAATGACCTGAGTTCCATTCCTGGACATGGAAGGCTAACACTGACCTCTGGAAGAAATCCTCTGACTTCCACATACATGCCATTGCTCACGCACCCTGCCCCACGCATACATCATGCACACAGGTGCACACACTAATAAAGAATAAGCCTTTCAAAAGTTTCCTGTTTACTGTGTATGTGCCTGTGTGGGTGATTGCTAGGTGGGGGGGGGGGGTTCCTAGGGGACCAGAAAAGTGCATCAGATCTGCTGGCATTGATGGCAGCCATAATCTATTGGGTATGGGGGCTGGAAATCAAACTTGTGTCTTCTGCAAGAGCAGCAGGAACTCTTACCCTCTGAGCCATTTCTCCACTCCAAAAAAAATATACATTTTTTTTAAGACAGAGTCTGACTGTGTAACTCTGGCTGGTATGGAACTCACTATTATGATATGGCTGGCCTCAAACTCACAGAGATCCACCTGCCTCTGCCTTACAAATGCTGAGATTAAAGGCATGGATCGCCATGCCCAGCCCAATATGAAATTGTTTTAATGTCCAAATCAGGGTCTTCAGAGATGGCTCGGTGGTTAAAAGTACTTGCTGCTCTTCCAAAGGACCTGGGTTCTATTTCCAGCACCCATATGGAGGTTCACAATTATTTGTAACTCTAGTTCCAGGGAATCTGACACCCTTTCCAGACTTCCATGGGCATTAGGCATATATGTGGTAGACAGACATACATACAGGCAACATCTATATATACCATCTTTAAGGACCACAAGGCATCCTGCTCAGATAGCGCAGTTGTGGGAAGGAAGCAAACATCTAGTTGAGTCCAATTCACTGAGTATACTTTGAAAGCCAAGTGCCGTGTACCTTTCTGCTCAACACAGCTTGGAAGCCCACAGCCAAGTCCAGATCTGGACAATTATTCACCAGGAGGAGATGGGTGCTTGTTTCATTGATATGGCACTTATCAGTCAAACACAGAGCCAAACAGCCACAAAGTGAGGCTAGTTTGCCTATAGCTTCAGCGTATGTGTATGGTAATGTCCATCCACTCCTACCCCAGCTCCTACCATAGGCTCATGTGCTGGGAAACTTGGTGCCAGGGTGGCAGTGCAGACAGAGTAGAACTTTGCAGAGGTAGGACCTAATAAAAGCTTATTTAGTCTTAGTTGGCATCTTTGAGAGTTAATGGAGTTCTTTTGGGACCCTGATTAGTTACAAATATAGTGGGTTGTCATAAGAAAGAAGAGGAAAGAAAAGCAAGCTTGTCCCCTGAACTTGTCTGGCTTCCTATCTTGTCATTGTTATCCCTTCTTCTTGTATGACTTCCTACACTAATGCCATTGGCCTTATTGTGATGTGACCAGAAGTCCTGCCCTGAACCCAACAGTTGCTGGAACCTGCTCTTGAATGACCAGAAACGTGAGCTAAATAGTAATAACAATAATAATAATAATAAAGCTTTATTTTTAATTATGTGTGATTGATTCTGTGCAAGGCTATGTGCACACGAGTATAGGTGCTCCAGGGAGAACTACATACCCCTGGAGCTGGAGTCACAGATGCTTGTGCGGCACCCAGTATGGGTGCGAAAGGAACTTTTAGCCACAGAGGAATCTCTTTTTGTGTCCCCCATACATCTTTATATTTACATTGATTGTGGAATATTCTATCATAGCTGCAAATGCCAGCGTCATACAGACAGTAAACAATGAAGCACAGCAAAACACTGCAAAGGAAATGCTTAGCAGCTTCCAGGACTGGGTGGGACTTGAGCTCTGCCTTAAAGAAGAGCTGAAAAGTAAACAGCAGAGTAATTAAAAAGGGATTTATATGTGAATCATTGATTACTAATATCGAGCATTTTAAAACCATGACAGAGCTTTCAGACTTTAAAAGATCCACTTCCCTCCATGAAGAGCACCAGCTTGACAAACTGAGTTGGTACTATAACCCAATATGGTTACAGTCTTAAACCAAAGCTATTTTGTTGAAGTATCTATTCAAGAAGTAGTAGAGATATGTGCCTAGTTTTTTCCAATTAGAAGTTAGAACTGAGAGGCAGAAACCTGGAGCCAATGCAGGGAAAAAAAAAATGTGTGCCTTTACAAAGATCTGTAAGACAGCTCTTAGCCCCTAAGGCCATAGATAGAAAACAATTCCCTTGTGACACTTCAGCTGAATCCCAAGAATGGAAGGGACAAGTTACAGTTACCAGATGAATGGCCGGAGATGTGAATTCCTGGCCCTTCTTAGGGCGTTCATTAGTAGATATGCAGCTGTAATGATAGTGGTGGACTTATTTGTGGTCACATTCAGGATGGATGGAAGATTAGCCTCAAGTTATGTGTTAACTCAGCATTTCACTCACAAGTTACTTTAATTACATGCCTGTGTCTATTCTGTAACACCGAACATCTGGTGGAAACTGAAGAAAATATCTTCCATCCAGATGTTTAGCTTATGGCCAAGGAGAACACCTGTGTACTAAAATAGCATTTCACCAGATGTTTGATCGTGTATGTCTGGAGACTAGCTCCGGCTCTGGGCACAGGCTCCCACAAGGTGTCCAACCCACCACGAGGGCTCCACATAAAGACTCTTTATATTTACCAAGGTGAGGACAGAAGGACTTTTATAACTCCTGGCTTGTGAGGTACACATGGGGCTGATGTCCTCTAGTACTATTTGTACAAATAAACCTGAAACATGGAAAAATAAGTCACTGAATGTGCTTTTGCAACAACTGTAAGATCAATGGTTTTGATATCTCAATACACTTTAATCAGCAGAATACGTTTCACTATGTCATATACATCAACGAAACATGAATATATGTGTATATTCATACCTTAATATGACATGAATGGCCGGACGTTGGTGGCACACGCCTTTAATCGCAGCACTCGGGAGGCAGAGTGAGTGCCAGGATAGGCTCCAAAGCTACACAGAGAAACCCTGTCTCAAAAAACCAAAAAATAAAAAAAAATTAAAAAATGAATGTATGTACATGTGCATATCAGTGCATGTATATACATATATAACACACATGTATTCATACATGCATGTATATATTATGTGTTATATAACAGGGAAGGAAATATTTACTTCAGGTTTTGTCTCATGTGCTTAGGAAATCTCACCACCTATCACTGACAACTGGAGACCCTGGGAATTGAACACCAGGCCCAAGATGGTGGTGGAAATAAGCCCAAGTGTGAAGGCCTGAGGACCTAACAAGATGATTGTGTGAATGCAAGCCTCAGTCTGAAAGCCCAACGACTAGGAATGCTGTGTCCTAAGCTGGATGAAGAAGTTGAATTTACCATTTTCCTTTATGTTTTATTCAAAATTTCCCTCAACACATAGGATGAGTCTCCCACATCCCTGAGGCAGATCATCTTCATTCTGTCTACCAGCTCAAGAGCTAGTCCTTGAGCAGAGGGCAAAAATAAGAACAAAATATACTGACATATATATATGAAAATGTCATAATGAAACACATTACTTTCTGTATAGCCTTTTTTATTTAAAAAAAAAAAAAGCCAATACTCAACCAGCATTAGTCACCAGAAACACTGTCAGACATACCCAAAAATAATGTACTTCAAACAATCTTGGCACCTGTACCTCTGTGAAGTTGATGTATGATCCTGACCATTGTACACACATGAATACATGGAATCAATAACAAAACTTAAGCACATGTCTGTTCAGTTTTATTATTAATATCTGACTTTTATGTAGAATGGCTAATTTTCTGAGACTGGTGAGAATTTTGAGCCAAGACAGGTGCTCTTAGCTTTACCACCAAAGAAAGAAGGAAATTGTGCACAAGGAATATTGGTTGAGTGTAAAGTAGTTGTCCCTCACTGGTGCTGGATGCTTGAACACTTCATCCTCCCCTGGATCAATTACTTGGGGGCTGAGGGTCTAATTCCCAGTTGAGTATGTGTCTTGGGGTTTCTATTGCCGTGAAGAGACACCGTGACCATGGCAACTCTTATAAAGAAAAACATTTAATTGGGTGACTTGCAGTTCAGAGGTTCAGTTCATTATCATCATGGTGAGACATGGCAGTATGCAGGCAGACATGGTACTGGAGAGGTAGGTGAGAGTTCTACGTCTTTTGCAGGCAACAGAAAGTGAACTGAGACATTTGGCAGTATCTTGAGCATAGGAAACCTCAAAACCCACCTCCATGGTGATACAATTCCTCCAATAAGGCCATACCTACTGCAACAAGGCCACACCTCCTAATAGTGCCACTACCTATGAGTTTATGGGGGGCAATTGTATTCAAACTACCACAGTAAGTTATCCCTGTTTTCCAATCTATGGGAACAAGTTCTTAACTAGCATTTCTGCTGCTACTGTTGTTTCCCAACAGTTGGTTCTGTTCAGATGCACCACACATTGTTGAAATATATCACACGGCCCATATGTAGTCCAACCCAGACCCACCCGTCTCTCTATTGTTTTCCCTTTCATTCCTCTCCTTATCCTTTACAGTACACTACAGTGTATAGGCATAGTGTATCTGCCCCTTGTTTTTTCATAGATCTTGAACCAAGAATGATTTTTTCACATTTTTCAAATGGTTCAGTGTGGGGGGAAATCAAATGAACAGTAATTTTCTTTTTTTGAAGATTTATTATGTATACAGTATTCTGCCTGAGTGTATCCCCACAGGCCAGAAGAGGGCACCAGATCTAATTACAGATGGTTGTGAGCCACCATGTGGTTGCTGGGAATTGAACTTAGGACCTCTGGAAGAACAGCCAGTGCTCTTAACCTCTGAGACATCTCTCCAGCCCATGAACACTATTTTTCAACTCATGAAGATGATGTGTAATTCAAATACCAGTATCCATAACCAAAGTTGTAGTACACAACAGTCATGCTTGTTTGTTTTGTCCAGGGTTGCTTGTGTGCTCAATTAACAGAGCTGTGCTGTTGCAGACCACACTGAATGACCCATAGAAATTAAAATGCTCACCAGTGCAAAAGAAGTTTTGGACCCCTTGTTTGAGCCACACCGTCCTCTTTTCTGTGCTTAAAATTCAGCCTGTACAGTCTTGCTTCCTAGAACGCTATTTCCAGGTCTTTCTTCTTCTAGAATGCTCTCCTCTAACATTTTGGATAGTGTTTATTTTCATAAGGTCTCACTGAACTGTATATATTGCACAACACCAGCAGGAAGTCACTTATGATAGGAATGCATGTCTTTCCACCCAACAAACTCGTTTCTGGATCCTGGATGGAAAGGTTTGGTTTGAGATTCTTTTATTTGTCTCTGGCAGTAGCAAGGGAATGCAATGCTTTCGTGAGAACATGGTTGGTGCAATTCCATTACCATGGTGACACCTTCTGCAAAGAGTGTGAATGGCTGTCCCCTCTCCTGTTGAACACACATTAGAAGCTGAAGGAAGGGACTGCATATTCCAAGACCCGGACTCACGGAGCCAAAGGAAATATTACTGAAACTCTCATGTACCATTTCAGACATATCTCCAGCCCATTATAGCCTAGAGTTGTTTGCTGCTGTTGTTGAGTCCTTAATATAACTGTGAGCAAGGGACCTCCAACTTTACAGCAGACTGATCTACAGAAGAAGGAACCAGGAAGCCCTTCGGACATAAGTTAGATCTTTAAGTTGATGAGTCATCAGTTTGTACGGATCTGAGATTTCCTCTTTCCACATAGTCACTGGAGTATACTGGAGGACCACACCAGTCATTGGCCCTGAAACCTGTTTCCTCATCTGCAAAATGTAAACATACCTAATCCCAAAGATTAGGTCAAATCGGATGAGAAAATATCTATAAAACTTCTTTTTAAATCAAATGTAAAAGGAATAGATAACATTTCATTAGTACCCCAAACCATAAAACAGCCATACACAATTCTACAGACGGAATACCCTGTAATACACACACACACACACACACACACACACACACACACACACAATATCAAAGATCTTAATGAAATTCAACTAAGTTTGCACACCCTTACATGTACACTTTGTTCTTTAAAAAATACAGGCAGAAAAAATAACGGACACTTCTAGATCACGAACATATACAGTGAGATGCAGGGTGCTGCCTGTCCTAGGCAGAGGTGAGGGATGGAAATACTGAAAGGGGCAAACTGCAGAGGTCAAAGATCAAGCCCAAGCCAGGGAAAAACATTTGTGTGACAGTCTTAATTCAGAAGGTGCCTATTATTTCCCAAAGCAATCAGGCAGTGGGGTCTCTGTAGGAGTCGTTCGATGTTACTGAGAATGGCAAACATAAATACCAGGGGGAGCCTTGTGACTGAGGCTATTGAGGGAACTTTTGAACTGGGACTTAGAAGAAAACAGTCCAACCCAAGTGGCAACCAGAGTGGCTGGGCTCAGGAGTGCTTTTAGCACCTGTCAAGGCTGCTGTCCGGGATTCATGGTGCCATGGGCTTGGAGTTAGGACGTGTGAGTCCATATCAGTGCTCTAACACTCTAGCTGTATGTATGACCGTGCTCTCTGAGAGGCAGTTTTCTCCTCTACAAAATAAGCACACACATATGAATATATATATATAATTATTTGATATGGGGTCTTGTGTAGTTCAGGCTGGCCTGAAACTCACCACATAGTGGTAGATGACCTTGGACTCCTGATCCTCATACCAATACCCTGTTTATCTGGTGCTGGGGACTAGCCCAGGGCTCCACACATGCTAGGCAAGCGTTTCCCTGCAATAATTCTGGGCAATGACATAGGAGCTGAGGTCCAGAATCATTTTTATGGTATAGATAGAAGAGGTTCCAGGAAAAAACTCTTTGATGTCAAAGGAATGAGGACAATAGTTCCTGTGGGGTCCAGAAAGTGAGGGGAATCCGAGACTTCTGCTCTGCCCTGACCTGTCTTGATGCCACATGGCAATGTGACCTGGTCTCTTGGGGAGGAGATGAATATATTTTGTATTTGGACACCAAGGACCTGAGCCTTATGTCATTCCAGGAACTGGCATATATTTGTAGTTTCAAGGAACCAACAAAAACTGTGACTCATTTGGGTGGCAACCAAAGGGTTTTTGTGGATTGTGTTTTGACAAACCATTTAGCATGTAGTTGCACCTCTAATATTTTCATTCTGAAACACAAGGGGTTGACTAGATATGCCCAAACGACACTTAGCACAACCCCTCATAAATTTCACATCATTTTAATGTGTTTTCTTTTGCTTCTACTTTGTATATGTGTACACATGTATATATGTTTTCACATGTGTGTACTGCATATGTGTAGGTGAGTGTGCATGTCTGTGTTTGTGTACTCATACAGAGGTTGACAAGTGTCTTCCTTGATCACTCCCCATTTTATTTCCTGAGGCTGGGCATCTTCCTGAGCCCAGAGCTCATCTATTCCACTAATCCACCTAGCCAAGTTGCGATGGGTTCCTCTGTCTCCATCTCCCAGGAGCTGGGATTGCAGAGTGCTGGGATACTCACGCTTGCCTGACAAGGGCTGTATCCACTGAGCCATCTCCCAGCCTGGCTTCTACGACTTTTATCTTTCTTCACACTTCAACATCTGCTCATAGTGTGGCACTCATGTATGAGGACTGGCTTGGTTATTTTTGAAAAGTAAGAAAAGGTGAATCCTTTTAGTGCAGAACTCTGCTGCCAGACAGTTCTCAGCCACCTGACATTGGGAGACTCTGGTTTCCTCGTTTGAAAAAATGGTGACAGTCACTTTTCTCACCTGTTTAATTCTCAAGGTTCACACAGCGAAGACAAGAGCATTGTGCTTGGCTTGCTGAGTGACACATATATCTGGGAGATAAGCAGATAATCTGTGACCAAAAAAAAAAAAAGTCTTGACTTTCATTCATTTAAAAGCTGCTTTGTTCCTTTCTTGCATCTAATTAGGTCAAGGGAATCATCAGGTGTAAGATTCTTAGGGATCTGGCTTTTGTCTCACTGGGCAAGAAAAATGTGCCCTAGTGTTAGTGAGCTTGTGTTTTTCTCTGCTGGAAGATTAAAGTTCTATTTGGAATTGTTATAACTTATATCCTTTTAGTCGTTTTGATGCTAATGTAGTAAAAGTTCATCGGGCATGAATATTCTAAATATATATGACTTTACTTAATGAGCATCTTCATTAATAGTTACAGCTCATCATGTGACAGGCATTTTCAAAAGCAAGAGTAGGTGGATGGCATGCAAAGCCTGTGGTTGCCTGGAGAAGAAAATTCAGAGACCCAGATAAGTAAATGTAATTAGAGATTTCACATGCAATGGTTGTGGAATTGCTGCAAATGTCCCTTCCCCTGCAGCAGGGGGGCCTTTATCCTGAGGTGTAGTGTTTCAGAGGCTCAGTTTCTGGGAGCCTTTCTCCTGACTCTACAGATGCTTCCCCAGCTGCCATAAGGTGCAAGGGCTCCGTTTTAATCACAAAATGTGTTCCAGTTTCTATAATAATCTGCAGCTGTTTGACCGTTGAATGCAAGAAGTTTGAAGATTGTTCATTGCCCCCTGGAGCAACTTTAGAACAAAAGCAACCGATTTTCCACTTTCCAAGATCAGTGAGGGGCCACCTATCAGTGGAGCTGTCGACATTTTTTCAATTAAGCTCCAGACCTACAGACTCAGTGATGAATAAGAAAGAGAGGGAGGGGGGCAGAGAGTTAGTAGAGCTGCTTTTTAAAAGCTGTGCTCTCT